TGAAAGAAATGTATGAAACTCATTGTAAGGTGGAGGCTAGCCCCCAGCTGTCTGCATGTTCACAGACATTAGGCTATGTCAAACAGGAGGCACACTCTACATTTAAAGCAGTGAGTGAATAGTCAGAAATGAGCATAGCTGGGAGCCTTCAATAGTAGTTATCAGGCTCTGTTGAGGGCCTGGGGTACAGCCAAGGTCTCACAAGCATGCAGCTGCCCACTTACCATAAACACAAAGGCTCAGCATGGCTATGCATGGCAGCCAAGGAGGCCTACGTTTTAAAGCAAGCCTGCTGTTTAATCATCTCATACATAATCACTTGCACTGTATATATTTGTCCAGAACAACAGCTTTGTTGAGCTCTGTAATCGAGGCATTCAACAAACCTGTCCAAGTTGGAGAGAAATGTTGTCAACTTGAATGCTAGGTCTAGCAAAGTCTCTTAATTACAAAGGGTAAGACACACAACACTCCTATGTTATCACAGCAGAATAACACTGCATGTTAATAAACCCACATGAGAATAAATCATATCTAGTGGAGGCAGCCCTATTAACTTTCAATCAAAGTTAAGAGCAGAGGGGAAAGAGCACGCTTGAGTTTTCCATGCAGGAATTTATCCATCCCCCACTCTGCATTTCAACTGACCAGATACATGAAACAACATGAGAAAGCCAAGGCATTAACTATTTTCCAGATTGTGATTGATTAATGCAATAACAGTGGCATTACACAACAGGATCTTGGAGAGCATTAAAATGGTGTTAACATGTTTTCAGTGATATGGACACGGACAAATGAATCATCTGCAAGCTCTTAGAAGCAGCCTCTTTCGTACTTGAGCTAAAAGTGTTCAACTGTTTTTCAGATGAGCTTGCCAACCCTCCAGGTGGATGGCTCTCAGTTTCACAAGAAAAGGCCCTGAAAAATGAGCTTGTCCAAGTAACCAACACAAACAGTCCCTCTCAAACCCCTTTTCCAAAATCCCTCATGAAAGGGAAATGAGTTTGGCAAAGAAATTGGTGTGACGGGAGCTCACAGAATGTTACACACAGGCTACAGAGCAAACAGGATTTTGAACTCGACAGAAAGGCCACGAGCAACAGATGATAAAATATTAAATGCACATGCTAAAAAAAGTAAAATGGCGCTTCTGTACTTTTAAAGTTGTTATCCTCTTTATTCTTCTTAAAACCTATAATAAATGTATGTTGAAGCCACTTATAAACATTAGCAGTCATATGTATTGCCATGGGACACTGAGAAGTTCCAGTTTAACAAGCTCTAGTGTTTATGATCCCACTTAAATTGCAGAATCGGTTGGATTGCATGTCAGCCAAGTCTGTGTTCATACCTGAGGGGAAGGTTGGCTAGATAAGGGTAAGACAACAACATTCCACTGCAATGGGAAAAACTGTAACATACAAGAAAAGGGTCCTGAGGGAGTCCCAAATTATAAATAATGTGGTGTCAAATATAAAGGCCCTGTGGCTTTTATACAAATCTATACAAAACATATGACACATGTGCAGCCTATCTTGCCATGTGTGAGTGAAAACCCAGTTTGATAGTTAAATTACCTTTTGAATGCTGTACACTTAGTATCTCTTTACAAACTTCATGCAACTCTTGCCAACTAATAATCAGATTGAGTTTAAATTGACTTTCAGATGTCAAACAAGTTAAGTATACTTTCTGAGCTTACATAAAGACAGAAAATGGATGATACCAGGGATAATTTGAACACACTGAATATGTATGGACATGTCTGAGCTTCACCCACACGTATTGACACTTGTGTTATTAACCGTCCCTCATACATTTAATCGCATTATGACTTTAACAATCTATGAATGGTAATACACACATTATAACAAGTAGGAAAAAGCGACAAATATGAGTTTAAGCTGAATTCATATAAGTAAGATCCCAGACAAGACAAAAGGGACATGGTAAAGGCTGTACATGAGGAAAAGTTGCTAAGCTTTTTTTTTTACTTGCAGCTATTTTAAGTTTCGACTACTTTGTATCTCGTCGCTTTTCAATTTGTCAGCATAAAAATCACTTTTCGTGTAAAAGTCACACATTTAAATCACAAGGGAGCATCACACTTTACAAACCAGATACAGTTCCTAAATTAGCTAGCATAGGAACTTTATTATTTGACCAAAAAGTACCACTCACAAGCATCACGGTGAGCGCCTCGTATCCCAAACAGCACCGGGCAGCTGGTTAGTTTCTCTGGAGCATGTTGAGTTTTGTTTTAGCAGAAAACTAAAACAAGGCGTCAGGCAGGAAGCAAGACGAGCAGTTCACTTCACGTCCTGCTCCAGGCAGCTCCTGCAAACTACAACATTGCCCCAGTGCACTACTGTCCAACATTGCACGCTAATGAGGCTGTGACAACATACACGAGCCATACCACTTTTGACACGGGAGAGGGGTGTCCGATAAGTTATTTGTGCCACTAAATCTTTAAGTTTCCTTGTTCATTATTTGTGTTATTCGAAAGTTTTAAGCAGCTGTCAAAACTTCTGGTTTTAGGAAGTAAAACGATAATATATTTTAGACGTTTTGTTACACTAACGCCCCTGCTCCTAAAACTAGTGGTCTGATCCACCCTCTAGTAATGAAAAGTAATCACAGTTTGAGCTGAGCAAAGACAAGGCACTTTCACAATATTCAATGGTGTAACATGATAACCTGCCAACTGTGTGTGACTTAAAGAGGAAGATGTTTGATATATGTCATATATATAGCCAGTTCCCCGTCGTAAAACTTCCTGTATAATAAGGGTTTGTCCTAAATAAATATAGTTATTACAAACACATGTTGTCCTCTGGCTTTATCATGTACTTTGCTATTATTAAACCATACAGGTTAAGCTGTCTCTATTCATAATATGCAACAGGTGTATATGGTCAACTGCATTATAGCACTATCAAGACTAAACTAGTCTTTGAAAGCCAGGCCTGTATAATGTTCTGATTTCCTTTCGTCATTTGAACATGTTTTAGCAGTCCTGAATAGTTAAACCAGTATTTACTTTTCTATCTTGTTTATTATCTTGCAACCCCACCCTTTCCAATATAGCTTGTTCACATGTGATTGCTTTTTATTTGTTTACCTTTCTATGTGTGTGGACACTGTTTACGTTGTGTGCCACTGACAGCTGGAGGCAAAAAAGCGTTAAACTTGATGAACCTCAGAAAATTGACATAAGCCCATGACAATTACTGCACAAAAGGGAAGCAGCTGGATATTATTGTACCGTTGCCAAAAGCTGCACTAGTAAAAAGCTCAACAATTTAGTATTCCTATCCTATCACATCACATGAAGTTAGTTAATTTATTTGTGGGGGCCTCTGAGGGGTGGGGAGCTAAGGCTCACCCCTGGCACACACTATTGTTAATCAAGGAGTAACATCTGTTGTGTGCCACTAATCTCTCCAGACTGTCGGACTGTACTCCTCGGTTTTAGACTGTCTGCCTTTTGTGTTGAAGGGCACAGAGGATTTGTCTCCTTAACTTATAGGCTACAGTTTGGGGGTGACACATTTGAGTTTTTATACAAAAAACTCTTCCTTAGCAGTCTTCAACATGAGCTTTTAAGCAAAGCAATGCACATGTTGCATGATGTGTATGCACAGATGAAAAACAGATGACTGAATCAGATCATTGTAAGAATTAGGAGTCCTGCAAATCAACAAGTTTGGCAGTGTGTGTTGTGAATGGCAAAACCATAGGGGGCAGTATGCACCAATCATACTGAACTGAAAGTAATAGTTTCTAAATGTTTGAGAAGTAACAGCCCCTGGTTTTGGTGTTTTGGTTATTTTTCTTTGACTTTGTGACTGTAGCTAGCATATGGTGAACAGTAAATGGAAAAGGAAGACAGCTTCCAACTCCCAGTACTGGACCCCATGCAGCATGCTGTATGCCATCTGTGGTTCACACTGGCCTCAGACAGATGGCTTAAGGACTCCTGTTACAGGAGCCTTGGCCTCTCAACTTTAATGAACAGATAATCCTTTTCATGCCTGACAAATTCTCAATTTCATCATTTAAGTTTTATTTCAGAATTTCAAACAGATGCCACACATTAGTTCCAAGGCTGAATTGGAAGTACATCTATGCAGTGTTTTTAGTTTGTTATTCCTAGAAACCATAAACTTTTATTAGTGAGCACAGTCCCAACTACACAGTCTGCTCAGAAAAACTTTCGTTTGACAGAGGATGACACTTGAGAAGAAGAAAAACACTGACACCACTTGTCAAAATGCAGAAGTACATGCACTCTTTGCAGTTTTTTCTCTCAGTGGGGGATACTGTAACTACAGTCACACAAAGAGAGCATATGGCTTTCATGGAACCCCATTTCAATTTCACTGCTTCTCATCTTGCCCTCTAATCCTCGCCTATAATGTTTATAGCCAAGTTAATTGAACTGGCACATCCCTGTGGGTTTGGAGATGCCTTCTAAGAAGCCCTAAATCAGTGTTTTTGCCAAAGCATGCACATTGCTAAAAACTCTGCAGCTGTTCTTCCAGTAACGGTTCATCATGAGTGACTGTGTGGCTGAGGCATTCAGAAAAAGAGACGTTGAGCTACGTTTAATTGATTAGTCATAGTCATTTGATGTTTAAATTATGAAATAACGTAATTTATTATCTCAGATCAGCCAACTTTTTGCATGTTAAATTCTGTATGTGGGAACATGTAGGAGGTTAGGTGAACTTAATAAAGTGGTCATTATTCAGTCTGTTTATGAACAATAGCAGAAGTGATAATATAATACACTTTATTTTATAGCACATTTCAAACTTATTCAGAAAGTGCTTTCCGATAAAACCTGAAATAAATGTAAACAGAGAATGATATTAACTAAAAGCAGGAAATTAAGCACATAAAACTAGTGTAAAATAAACAAAATGTTATAAAACGTAAATAAAATCACAGAAAAGCAGATATAGACAAATGTTTTGAAAGATAAAACAGAATCTAGGAGCCCTGAGAGCAAAAGCTCTTCTTTATTTATATAAAGATGATACTCTTGGAAAGACCAGAGTATGCCCAGTGTACACATTAAAAAAACTAGCGGTACCACAGTGAAAATATCAAGTCCTGCATTAGAAAACAGTATTCTTAGCAAAATGCAGCATGGCGTTTAAAAAAAAAGAAAAAAATGTAAATAATTACAATTGCCACTGTAAGTGTATAACATTATTCTTAAATCATAGAACTATTATCATCATTGCATTTACATATTATATACAAATCCTGTTAATATTGTATTTACAATATAACTTTCATATTAAGATGTATCTTAATATTTTACTTAAACCTAACTAGCAGCACAACAATGTAATGTATATTACATTCATGGATTGTTAGTACAGCTGTAAAAAAATAAAATAATGAATATAATTTTCCCAGTACTATGCATAAGTACACACTTTCTGCTCACTGGTGTTTACCTAAGACCTAGGACATTTGAAGAGCTCTTTTTCTGAAATGTGGTTCGACCGCATTCTAAGAAACAAAGAGCACATTAATTGAGGACAGTAATTGGTCTTCACTACTCTGTGAGTAACAGATTTATTGAGGAACAGTTGCTGTGAATTCAGTCGGTTAATTTCCTTTAACAGAGTAAAAACAAAGATTTTTTTTACCGCTACAGGAAGTGTATTTTTTTGGAACATTTTAAGTAGATGTGTACAATCTGTTTGTGTACCATTTTGTCCATAGTGCCGTTTTAAACAGTACAGTCATGTTCAAAGATAAATATCAATACAAAATATTGTACTTGTTATCAGTGCAATGTGTAACGTGAGTAACTGATTCATAAACTGAAATAAAGAGAAAACTAAAAATATATTACATTTTCTTTACGTTCCGCATATTCTTTCCCCAAATAAGTGCTCTCACATAGATTTTTTCAAAAACAGCAGATAAATGAATCCCTTTTAAAAACATGTACATTCACTAATACTGGTCAGATTGCATAGTTTTTTTGGATCCCTCTCCTTGATTCTCCATGTGCGCCTGCACCGACCTCCACAGGGCCCTGATGTTCCCCTCGCCAAAACCTGTGGCCCCTCTTCGCTCTATCAGCTCGAGGAAGAAGGTATCCTCTGCAAAGAGTGGCTTGGTGAACAGCTGGAGGAGGTGTCTGGAAACATAAAATACCAAGGTAAGGACAACCTGTTTCACTGGGTCACCGAAGATACTGAAAAATGACCTTGTTGACCTGATATGTATACAAGAAATTACTTAAAATGTGATGCATGGGCTATTTAGAAAGTGTTGCAAGATGGCCTCACACCTTTTCTTCTCACTGGATGTTGTCTGTGGTAAGGGATCCTGGCACAGGTCCGTGTCCAGTAGAATGCCATTCTGCGCCAGCAACTGGGGACTGTGACCCGCCTCCTCAATCTCCTGCTGTTTTCCAACCTGTCACACCACACAAGATATGTAGAGCAGTTGATAACTAGCATAGAAGATGACACATATGCAAATGTAACCAGTATATGTTACAGTTCATTTAAAAAAAGCGATAATCAGTCACAGAAACTGCTTTAAAAAAAACCCCACCAAAATCAAACAGAAACCCCACAGATAATCCCAGATAAACAATTTGTATTTACTATTATTCAAAGTCAGGCTTGCAGTCGGACTTAAAGATGTTGAAGACTACCAACATTCTAATCTCTACTGGTAAAAAGGTGTGCTGCTGGTTATTGGTGCTTTAAAATTGGACTTGGTGTGTACATTTAAATGTTAGAGTTGCAAATGTATAGGCCGGTACCGCTCTGCAAATTAATATTTTAAAGGCAACCCTAACTATCTTGTGAGTGTGTAATTTTTATTTGATTACACACTTATTACAACATTATAATTTTCCGACTTGTTGAATAAAACGTGGCCAATTTCTTGCATTTATCATGTCAGTATTAGCTTATTTGTTATGGCAAATGTGGGATTGTGAAGTTCTGTAAAAGTCAGTCATACCTCCGTGTAGGGCTGTGCAATTAATCGTATTTTAAATCGCAATTACGATTTTGGCCTGCCACAATTACGAAAACAACATAATCGAAAAAAACGATTATTTTGCTTTGCTAGGTTGTGACAGTGCACTGCAACATATTTGATCTAATTTATTTTTATTTATCATATTTATATATGTTTAGTAGCTTGGTATTTATTATTTTGATATTATTTATTTAAATGTGAATGTAAATGTATCATTTATTTTTGTATTGGTTTTTCAGTTGAATTATACGTTCAGGGTAATCAACAGTTAAAAAGAGACTGTTCAAATTATTATTTGTATTTGTTTTAAAGTTGTTTGTTTCAATACATGGATGTTTTCAAAGTCAATGAATAATCGTATTTAATAATCGTGATATCAATTATTGACCAAAATAATCGTGATTATGATTTTTGCCATAATCGAGCAGCCCTACCTCCGTGTAGTAGGCATCAGGAGGGGAGAAGAACTGGACCCCAGCATGAGCCATTGCCTGAGCACTGGAAACAATGTCCTTTGTGTACAGCCCAATGTGCTGGATCCCAGGGGCCCCATGCTGCTCCAAGAAGGTGTCAACCTGATTCTTACCTGAAAAAGGTACAAGCACACATCTGTTTTAATCTTAGAAATTATAGTAGAATTCAATTAATTGAAGATAATAATATTATTACCTTGTCCGGGCAGTGATTCTGCAATGACGAACTTGCAGTCAGGCTCTTTTTTGTCCACCGAGGGGAGCGTGATACCTGCTTCGCTGCATTTCCAGTACTCCATGGCGGTAAGACGTAGTCCAACGTCCTTGTGGTTCACGACAAAACCTTCATCCACATCTTCATCACTACTCAGAAGCACAGTACTATGTATTACTACTTACTTTCTTACTCAAACATATATAACACAGCAGTATAGTATGTCTTGAATGCTCACCTTTTAATGAAAAACCTCTGGAAACCAAAGAGCTTCTCATACCAGCTCATGACCTGGTGGGTTGATTTCTTGGGACAGACATAAGTTATGTGATCAAAATGTGTGATTGGACAAGACAGGTCCTCCTCTGGCAAGCAGTCCTTTTCAATGACATCAAAGCCTGGCAGGAAGCTCCCCTTGTATTTAGTCCTGTCAATAAGTGTGTGGCACACATTCCCCACAATGGATTTAACCACAGAGTAGGTGACAGTACCCCCCTCGTCCTGAACTGTCGTGAGGGGCACCATGAAATTGCAGCCCAGATTGCGAAGAGTACGGAATGACCTTTCCACATCCTCCACCTCGAAACACACATTGCTCACAGAATCCACCGGGTAATGTGGGCTGACATCGTACAGACATTTTATAGAGTTATCCCGGTCGTTTTTCCCCACGTTGACCGGGTGTGGATCAAATGCATCTGTAAGGCGTAGCTCTTCATTCAAACTCACACCGCTCTGGTTTTGTCTCTCATTCACGATGAAAACAGCCGCTCCTTTTCTGAAAGCAAGCTGCCTGGACGTGTCCGTAAGTCTGGTGGCAAACAAACTAAACTTGAATTTAGAAACAAGGTCGCCAGCTACTTTTTCCGCGTTAGAAACGTGGAGCGAGATGTGGTGCAGCCGGTTCAAGAGAGCTGCCATGTTTTGGATGTGACGTTTTGGATGGCGTCATACATATGTAACTGTAGTAGGCGTGTCCATTTCATTTCACTTCATTTCACTGTCTTATTACTGCGATATTCATTTAGGAAACTGTACACTTTTAAACGTAATAATTGTCTAATATGTTCCCACTTTTTTTTCCTGTTTTCCTACAGTTGTCGCAATGTACTTGAAGTCTCAGAATAAATCAGCGGACAGGAAGTAAACATGGATCCATTCAGTTGCCTATAGCAAAACAATTCCATTGAAACTGTCCATATAATTAGGTTTATGCATAAATGTGTTAGAATATCCAATATTGCTCTCAAATTAAAAACTATTATTTTAAAATGAGATTCAAAGTAGAGGTCAATCAGAGGTTATTCATAATCAATAACCGACTTAAACAACTACAAATGCATCAGTGTTTTCCTTTTTTTTTAAATTGTATTTGCTTATTTATATAAGCAAAGAAATAGACAAATGTTATTATATAAGTTATATAATATATTTTTATTGTGTACAAAATAATTTCATGAAAAGGACTTACATAATTTTGACATCGTTCATTTATAAAATCATTACATTTCTTCCCGCATCCACTGTATGAAAAAAGCTTTAGGGTTTAGACTAAGTTCGTTTATTTTACATTTGTTTTGTTAAATATAATGGGAATTATTCCAGTGTTTTTTTTAAAACATTATATAATATACAAATGTTGTGCCTCATATTAAAAGAAAAAAACATAAAGGGCAACAACTTTAGAAACAGTTTAACCAAAATAGTAAATAATTCTGCCAGTCAACCACATTTCCCAGTTTGTTTGAACCTTTCATAAGTGTCCGTACGTTTATGTACAGGGGGTTTTCATATTTCCGAAATGTCATGAAGGCAACACAGTACTTTCTTTTCATCCAATCGCATTGAGCGCTGAGCCAGATGATTGGTGACGAAGGCAGGCTAGCGTTTATTTTGGCTCAGCCACTCATTTGTCTCGCTGTCGACGCCATTAAACAACACGGAGGCTATGTAAACCATGTAATGTCGCATATTTATACCATGATTCAAGGAGTACAGAGGCTTTGCCAACGTGGGGTTTATTCTGCGAGAGCTTAATGTGTCTATAAAGATAAACATGTGAGACACCGAAGAGGTCGAAATAACTCTGTTTGGGAAAGGTTTGATAGAGCTGGAGGAGGGGGACTGTACATAGGGTTTGTTGTGGTTTTCAGTTTCAGCACTTCAGAAACAGGCGCAGCCGCGAAACGGTAAGACTCTCACATATTTTTCTTACAATATACCAGACTATAGCATGTTATATGATTCTTCTTTCTAGAAAATGTCCATTAACTGTTCAAATACACGGTAACTATGTGAGCTAGGTGGTTAGCTCGCCAGCTAGCAACAGTGTAACATACTACATGTTCACGCCATAAAGCCAGCCGTCATGGGAAACAAACACAGGCTGTTAGCATGCTACATACTGTTACTGATAATTAACAGCCGGCCAGGTTATTTTAATTCAATTTCAATCACTCAACAATCTCGATTGTCATTGAAGATACCCAAACAGATGTTAGTTAGTTTATAATCTGCTGGGATATACTCGAGAGAACTCCATGGAATGTCCTTTTGTTTTATGTATCATAAACGCATCATTAGTCTATCACATTTGTTGACCTTCAAGATTATTCAAAAAGATTTAGTTCATGCCTGACATTTAACTACGTTTATTTATCACCTCAGTTTAACCATCCAAAGTGATCAACAATGACAGAACAGAAGATAAAGTGGGCCTGTGACTACTGCACATATGAAAACTGGCCATCTGCAGCCAAGTGCACCATGTGCCGTGCACATAAGTCAAGGGGTCCCATCATCACAGAGGAGCCTTACAAGAACACGCCTGATCTGGACCCTAGTCCAGGATGGGACCCTCCCAGAACTGAGAGTGGTAGCCACCTCCTCATATGTCCTGACTCCAGCGCTCGGCCGAGAGTCAGGACAGCCGGGATGGCTGAGATTGCCAACAAGTGGTCCTGCCAGATGTGCACCTACCTGAACTGGCCCCGAGCGCTCCGCTGCACACAGTGCCTGTGTCAACGGGCGAGGACCAGCAGCCCCACAGAGACCCCCCAGACTTCAGGCTCCAATGCAGGCTGTCGTCCCGCTCTCCACTCCCCTGTGGATCCCTGTGAGGAATACAATGACAGAAACAGACTCAACACTCATCAGCAGCACTGGATATGTACAGCTTGCACTTACCAGAACTGGCCCACTACTGCAAAGTGTGTGGTGTGTGACAGCCCCAAGCCCAACAACCAGGAAGCCATAGAGCTGGGCGAGTCTGCAGATCCAACACCTATGATCAATATCCAGGACAGGGCTCGGTGGAGGGGCAGCTGCAGTGGGGGCCAGGGCCAAAGGAGGTCCCCTCCTATGCCCAAGAGGGAAGACAATGTCAAAATGGACTTCCAGAGGATAGAGCTTGCAGCTGGAGCCATGAGCAGCAGAGACGAGCAGGAGGTTGACTTCAAGAAGCTAAAGCAGATTAGAAACCGAATGAGGAAAACAGACTGGCTTTTCCTCAACGCATGCGCTGGTGAGTTTTCTTACACAATTAATAACAGCAACTTTGATAATGAATTGATTGATTAACGGAAAAACCAAGCATCTTATTGCAGCGTCTCACAATATATATTTATTCTAGCATTTTAAATGGATAACCTTTTGGTTCTTGGAATGTGATGGTATTTTTCACAACTCTACACCCTTTGTCCCTCAGTTGCTCACCTGAAAGGTCTTACTGGGACAAGTCATTAAAGGGGAAAAAAGGATAAAAATGTGCATTGTCTCACCAACCTTTAGTTTTCTTCCATAATGTCATGCTTAATGATGACTGAGCGGGATGCTCCAGTCAGAGGCAACCATTTTTGTTAAAATTGCAAAATGTTCTATTTCCTCACAGTGCAGGTGGCAGCTCACCCTGCAGGCGAGGGTTGCACTCAGTCATTATTGAATGTCAACATGTCACTGTTTGGCCTCCAAATATTAGAGTACAACAGGAATTTGTTCTAAATGTGTGCATCCACAAGCCCTATGAGGAGAAGTGTTTAATTTCACAAGGTAGTGCTTTCCAGGTGAATAATATCCGCCGTAGTGGAAGGATACTTATCATAAACAGAGAAGAAATGATGCTGAGTCAGCGGTTTGAGGATGTGAAGCTAAAAGGCTTGTAGTAATTCAATCCAACTCATCGCTGGACCCCTCTCCGCCCTTGTTCTGCCACTGAGAGTGTCTTTGAGAAAGTGAGAGGATGTGTGAGTGCTGTGCAGCCGGTGGGGATGAATGGGCCGTCTGGGCAGCGCGGGGAGAGTGTCGCCGTGGACCAGAGACTCTCCTGGCTCGCAGTCAAGCCACCCTGTACACAGTGGCGCTTATGTGCTGAGCCGAGGCCCTAGGAGGCAAAAATAACCTCGACAAGACATGAACACCTGTCAACAACAAAAAAAGCATGAAGGCAGCACATGATCATGTCCTCATGACCTTTGCACCGATTGCCCTTTCCTGCTCGTTGTTGTGGAATAGGAAACTCGACACCTTTTTGTTCTTCCACCATTGTCGTGCATCTACCTCACATTTCAAGCTCTTGATTTAATTCTAAATACTACTGTGCCTCTTTAATCATACCATGTCAGCTGACTTTTCTACAGTTGGGCTCTTCAAAGTGTTTGTCATTGGAGGAAGTGGCGGAGTCGTGCAGCACATTATGACAAAGCCAAGCACTTCCTCTGCTCGCAAAACTGGATTTCTCCTCGCTTGACTGTTTCTAGGTTATTGTTTATCCAGAGCTCTGTATTTGGGCCAAAATCGGATGATCCCATTGATTCCACTGTCCCACAAAAGGAAGCAGCCTGTTTTAAAATGTCCTTTTTGTTTACAAATTCACCGGCCTGTCTTGCAGTTACAGATCATATTTAACTTTTTAAACATGATATTCTTATAGTATGATGTTGCTCATTATGACATTTACAGTTTATGTGATATCTAAAATGATGATATGGATTTGTGCATTGACATCTGTCCAGATTGTCCCCCCTGGTGTTCAGGATGCCCCATTTCTGGCTGTTTAGGCGGTTTGGAGACTTGCATTGTATAGACTGATCCCGGCATAATGGGTTGATGTTAAGGTTTTTAGAATGTGTCCCAATTCCACACAATTTATGAATCCGCTAAAGAACACATTATGTACTAATCTTAATAGTATACTACTCTGGCGCTTAATTTAAGAGACATTCATGTGAAATAAGAACGCAGTGGACAAGTCTTCAAAAAGCCACGCATTCTGTAAGTCCAGGGAACCTCAAGGCTCGTACTCTTAAAGATGCAAATACCGGCTTAAGTATTTCATTTATTTTAATGAATGCAAGTGGACAGAGTTGTTAACCAAACTGCACATTTGGGACATTACTACCTATTTAATTAGCACACAAAGAGGGTCTTTCCCTTTCCTATTATTTTTCCACACATTTAATTGTGTTGTCACATTCTGCCATTTTCTTTTTTGGTTATTATTTAATTGGACAATATAGGGCTATTTAATAAATACAAAAAGAAAGTGAGCGCTATGACATGCAGCACGAAGCACTCATCGTGGTGTTTTTGTTTTTGCAATTTGAGACGGCACAGATCAACAACACATTCAAGTGCACGTAATGTTGGCATTTCATAGAGGGAATGCTCAACATATGCAATGTGGCATTGGTACACACGTGCTTTCTCCATGACAACAGTAACCTAAACCAAGCCCATGTAATGTGCATTTTATTTGCTTTCTTTATACACAGGAAAACCGGTTAATATATTGTATAACTTTATTTTTTAGGCTCTTCCTCATCATCCCAGTAGTTATTCTTCAGCCAAAAGCATTCACCATCCATTTATGGATCAGTGTTATTAAAGTAAAGGGACGAGACGTTCCAGGTGCCGGTTCTCTCGAGGTAACGGTCCTCTCCCTGCGACACCAGCCTCCCATAAGGCAGTTTGTTCAAATTAGCGAGCTGCTGCAGTGTGCTACCTCGCTGCTGCTCATTTCACTCACAACAGATGTTGAGACTGCTACGTCCAGAGGGGGGGGGACGCTAATCTGCACAGACTGTCCTCTGTTTGACACGGCTCTCTGATAGCTCTGCTTCATAAGCTACACTGCTGCTCTGCTGTGTCGTAGCCTGAGTGATAACTGCTCTAACACTGGGTCAGCAAGTGGCTACATCTAGAGGTCATCTGAAATGTGGATTTACTTCACGAGAGCCGTTAACCATGAAATATTTGAGCATTTACATCTCTTGGACTTGAGTTTGTGATGCTAATCCCTCCTGATTTTCATATTAATGGCTTGTGACGAAGAAAGATGTGTTAGCACAGGTTGATGGATATTTCTGCAGCTCTTTCATTGAACATGACGAGCTGTCTGTTACATATTGCTTCTATTACAAGCAAGGGCACAGAGTTGGAACTGCTCCAAAAGCCAGTCTAATCCATTCACATGAATAGTGCTGGTTTCAAAAGGATTCCTGTCTTTCAACATTAATCTTTACAGTTGTGTTTGATAAGTGAAGTAAGACTAGTTTTTCTCATGGAAGATTTGCATATACTCAGAGGCAAATTTTTTAGGTACACACCTACCATGAATACTACCTTTACAAAGGTTATGTTTAGTTTGAAATTGTTTTACAGAACTGTTTAACTGTATGTTTACATTTCAAGTTGACTTTAAGCAACTGAGTGCACAGGCCTTTGGATAAATTGTTATTCTGAACGGCACTGTTCCTTCTGCCTTAATCTTAGATTGTAAACAATGTAGGTGTGTATCTAGGGTTGCAAAGGGGCGGAACATTTCCGGTAAGTTTCCGTTACATTTCCATGGGAAATTAAGCTGGGGACTGTTGGAAATATTCCATATTGGAAACTTTCCATGGGAATTTATGGGAACTAACTGGGAATTGAGGGTAATGTAATCAAATTGTATTATATCCAAGCATAAATATAAACATTTTGTTTTGTCATAAACATCCATTATGACATTTCAACAGACTCATTTGTAAGTAGAACAGAACAAGTTTTTATTATTTTATTGAACAATCATTTGTTTAATTGAAGAACAAAAACATGAATGTTGAGTTAAATATTACTTCTAGAAATCATGTGTGCATGAGATGGAGGAATGCACAGTGCCTGTAGGGGGTGTGGTCTCAATAGCCATGCAGTAAGCAGTGTGCTATGTGCATGTGATTAAGGAATGGCATGGATATTCAAGTGTACTTGAATGGCATCTGTTTGTTTTAGTCAAGATTATGCTAAAATTTACTTTCCCCAACTATATTTAAGTTCCCTATGAAGAGCCAACCTTCAATTTAGAAAAAAAAAAAAAAATGGAAAGTTTCCAACCCTATAAAAACTTTCACAGGCTCCAACTTCAACAGCCTGTGTACACAAACTCCTGGAAAAGCAACTGCACTGATCCATTTCTACATCCTATTTTCTGACCTTCCTTCCTCCCCCTGCTGCAGGCGTGGTGGAGGGAGACCTGGCAGCGATAGAAGCCTACAAGTCGTCGGGCGGAGACATCGCCCGGCAGCTCACTGCAGACGAGGTGCAGCTCCTCAACCGCTCCTCTGCCTTTGATGTGGGCTTCACGCTGGTGCATCTGGCCATCCGCTTCCAGAGGCAGGACATGCTCGCCATCCTGCTCACAGAGGTAAGGCAGAGCTGTTTGTCTTCGCCACCACACTGAGGTTAAAGAGGCCCTTTTATGCTTTCTGGGGTTGTTCCTTTCCTGTTATGTAGCTTTGTGTGCATGTAAATGGTCTGCAAAGGCAAAACATCCCACTTTCGGAGGGTGAAAAGAAGTGATGCAGCACAGGCAGTATGAGCAAGATAAAGCACAAAATACAAATATGAGCCGGAAAATTAGCATAATAGGTCCTCTGTAAAGCTATATCATCCTATTTGAGCAGGTGATCACTTTATTCAACCATCTTTACACATATTTATGACACCATGCAGTAGGGGCTGTACCCGAATATTTGTTCGTTGGAGTACTATTCGGATTTCAATTTCGTTATTCGTATTTTTCGTTTTTTTTGGAAGCAGCTGCACTGCAATATCAACGTAAGAGCTTGTGCCTCTTCCGGGGGTGCTAACACTTAACCATAAACTTTATCGTTTACTTTCTCCGTCTTTATATGTAGATATGACTTTTCTCCGTTAATCTCCGTCACGTTGTTTCCCCCCCCGCTGCTGATTACTACAGAATATCCGGAGCCCGAAAAATGGTATTCGGGACAGCCCTACCATGCAGTGGAATCATGTTCCTCCTCCTATGAAGATTATAGACTCTTTTTAATAAGAATATTCTTTACAGTCATTCAATGAAGTGTGTTATTTAATTTTAAAAGTCCTGAGTGTTTCTGTAGTTTTAAAGCAATTCTTCTCCTCCTCAACTTCGTCAGTCAATAATTGTTCTGTGCCAGAATAGATGATCTAAAGCAGCAGCCTGTAATGCCTTTAATTACAGCAGAAGTGCACTTTAAGGATTAGGTGGAGGATTAGCCTGGCTGCGGTGCTGCCTGCCACTGGCTGCGGTGCTGCCTGCCACTGGCTGCGGTGCTGCCTGCCACTGGCTGCGGTGCTGCCTGCCACTGGCTGCGGTGCTGCCCTGCCACTGGCTGCGGTGCTGCCACTGGCTGCTGATGGACGTGATGCCACAGAGCGGTCTGAAGGAGGGCACGCAGCGATTAGACAGGCCCAGAGGCTGCACTGTGACACAAGTCACTGAGCTCAACAAAGAAAGATGGCCACCGCACTGTATGGCAGAATATCTTTCTCAAAATAACAAATGCACACAATATGTACACTATTGCATTTTATAATTTCTTAAGAAGATCCTGTCATTAGTTGTCTACACTGATCACCCTTAATAAATGAAAACATGCAAGGATATATTTAATGTCCTTTTTGTTTTTCAAAAGTTCCAAAACATCCCTAATTTTCAAGTGTGATCAAGCTTCAGTTACTGTATATGTACCTGTAACTTCAAATGGATCTGTGTGTGTCCTGCAGGTGAACCAGCAGGCGGCGAAGTGCATCCCGTCCATGGTGTGTCCCGAGCTGACGGAGCAGATCCGCAGGGAGATCGCTGCCTCACTACATCAACGCAAAGGAGACTTCGCCTGCTACTTCCTCACTGACCCCGTCACCTTCACCCTGCCTGCAGGTACCCCCCACATCCTGAGGAGCAAATCACTTCACTTTTGGTCTTTCTTGCATGTGTTCAATCTGATACCTTTTGTCTGTTTAACCTAGAATCGTTTGGCTTCCTTTGCTCCCACTGACAGAGTTTCTTGTAGCCTCAATAAACACCTCAAATTAACAACATCAAACCCTTAGAGGAAGATTGACATTGAACACTTAGGCTACTTTTGCTTGCAAGGATATACAAAGTTGTTTTGTTTAAATTCCATGCATAAGTTTCTTCTAAACATCGTAAATCTCCAGTGTGTGACTTCCCTTTCACGAGATTTGAGATGAATGACGTCCGTCCTTCTTGTGCAGCGTTGCCGGGGGGGACAGCAGCTCAGTGTCCCCGTGGCGTGACGTCTTCACTGAAATGACATGCACTTTGCTTTCAGAGAGTCCAGTTGTATTCTGATTCTGCGCTGCCTCTGGGATGAGAGATTATGCAGGCTTCACTGATCGATTCACATTTTTTTTTCATGTTAATGCCAACTATTTCTTTGCAGGCTGAGTTTGGCCAGAGGCCAGCTGCAGGGCGCTCTTCCTCACCCTCTGTCTCTCCCCCCACCTAACAAAGCCACTGCCATTCACTATTGAGCCGGAGAATAGCCACTAGTGTTCTGGCTTTGTGTGTGCACAGTTCAATAGACACACAAACACAACATGCTGTACAGAGCCTGTGTTTACAGTGTGCTATTGACAAAATGTCAGCCATTGAATGGAATCGCAGAGAACATCCCCTCTGTGTGTCATTACTGTAGCGATTGTGTTGCCCTCAGTGCAGTGTACCATTACAGTTATAATGAGCATTAAAACATGATATCTCCCCCTTTTGTCTTCCAGATATAGAAGACTTGCCGCCTGCTGTCCAGGAGAAGCTGTTTGATGAGGTTTTGGATCGAGATGTGCAGAAAGGTACCAAAGATTTGTTCATTTTTATATCTGGTTTCCGTTTTTATCCCCAATCTGTATTTATTTAAATTCAAGTCCATGTGTTTAGTACCTGCTTCCCCGACCAGCTCACCACCTCCTGCTTCATCTTATATCCCCTCTCCAATAATGCTAATGGGGCTAACTGCCCTCCCCCCTCACACTTAAGCAATGACACACTCCCAGCACTGCACCACTGTGTGTGAATGCTTTAAACAAACATGTGTGTGTGCTGAAGTTCAGAGGAGTCCTGTGACCTATTTAAGCTTTCCCAAACTGGGTTACTCATGAGAGTTTCTGGTTGTTGCGCAGAACATAGCTGAGGAATCAGTGTGGGTGTTTTTAGAAATGTTTCAGGAGAAAAGAAAATGATGAGTTATGCGTCGCACAATTTGTTTCTGTAACAACCAGCTGCAGCAGATGCTTGTATAAGACACTCAGCGTAGGATCTGTGCCCCCATGCTGAGTCTTTGTTAACAGATTACCCCCCTCTTTCATTCTGGTTGTTCGCATAAACCCAGTCTTGTTTGTTCATTTGTCAGCTCAGGAAAATTCATATTCCCAAATGGTTTTCTTGGAAATCCTCCTCCTCTTTCTCTATTGGAGACATTTCCACACACAACTGTCTGGAACATGGCTTTATGGACCCTTTTATATCACCCCCCCCCCCCCCCCCCCCCCCCTCCTCCTTGTGTCTGTAGAGCTGGAGGAGGAGTCTCCTGTCATCAACTGGTCTCTGGAGCTGGGCACCCGGCTGGACAGTCGTCTGTACGCCCTGTGGAACCGCACGGCCGGGGACTGTCTGCTGGACTCGGTCCTGCAGGCCACCTGGGGGATCTACGACAAGGACTCTGTCCTCCGCAAGACCCTGCATGACAGCCTGCACGACTGCTCCCACTGGTGAGACCCTCTGACCCACACAGAGCCTATAGTCATACAATCCAAGAAACATGTTATGACCTAAAGCACCGTTTTTTATTAAGCAACATGCCACATATCCAAAGTGTTGTTGATTTCTAGAGCAATTGGATACATGGGCTCTGGGTAATCTGAATACAATTATGAAAAATACTTCAATTTGACACATACATCTCCCCCAAAAGAATGTGTGTAATTGGTATTAAAACTAAAAGGTAGTTAAGACCTAATTATTAAAGAAATGTGTAGTTTAGCATATAAAAGAACCATCCCATTGACAAAATGTTGCATTTGAATAAAGTAAAACATTTGTTATGGACATTTTAACCACCAAATATCACAATTTAGTGACAGGTTTCTGCCTTGTTTTGTGGTTTTGCTTTCAGGATCGTATATGCTGAAGTTATATTTTGTTTCGTTAGATCAAGGACATGTGGATGCACGGCCTAAAATGTGCAAAATGTTGTCCTTGTTGCTGCAGCCAGTGACCCTTTGAAGCCTTGGTGGCAGTTTAGTGGTCAGGGGCTCAGGGTAGAAGCATTTCCTCAGGATATTTACATACTCCGATCACACAGACAGGTTTGATTACTCACTATGTAAACTGATGTTTTTGCCCATTATGTTCAACTAGTTTTCCTTTTACTACTAAAAAGTGTATTTGACTCAAGGCATTTAAATCCAGGTATTTGATGTGATATGCAATACTGTGTCAGGAATGTTTGTTATCCACTTCCTGTCGTACATTCTTGTTGAGATACTGTAGTGGGATAAATATTTTTGATTCGAATGAACGTTGAAAATATTGTCATGTCAATGTTTTTAGGTTCTACACGCGCTGGAAGGAGTGGGAGTCGTGGTACTCGCAGAGTTTCGGTCTGCATTTCTCCCTGAGAGAGGAGCAGTGGCAGGAGGACTGGGCGTTCATCCTGTCTCTGGCCAGCCAGGTAATTATGGGGTTCCTCTGCTTTACTCACTTCCTCCGCCTCATTATCAATCCTCCCAGTGTGCTGTGGACGGACTGTAAGACGCTGTGAGCTTCTTAGAAATGTGTGAGGAGATGGAAGCGCTCTCACAGGCTAATGGCAGCTTAATGACCAACGAGTTGCTTTACATTTCACCAAATGACAATGTGTGAATTCCTCTGACCTGTCACACGTGTTTAAGGCCTTCCTTTCCTTTAAAAACCCTGCATTATTTTAGTTTTCTAAAGAATATTAATATACCCTTTTGAACCTGTGTCCTTTCACTGTAATTTACAAGCGCCCCAAACTCTTAAAATGTTTTTGAATGACCTAAAATTGACAGGTTCAACCTTCTTTTAAATATGACCAAGTTGAGTTTTGTTTCAAACATACCATGATCTACATACCCTTGCTTATTCATTATTTGTATCAACATTCTGAGGTAAAACGTCTTAATATGGATGCCATGTTGTCACTGCACAGATTCTCCATTTTAAACACAATCACTTCTGAGTGAATGCACAAAAGGCTAGCAGCCTTCTCTCTGTGTATCAGCACCGTCTGTCTAAATGCTTACTAAGTGTTGCTCATTCATTTGAATGACAGTAAAGTCAATGACACTGAACGGCAGACACGGTAGGAAGGTGGATCTTCTGTGAATGACAGGGAGGACATCAGCAATTATTACAGATGCCCTGAGATGGAGCTGCAGAGTGACGGACAGCTGTCAGGCTGCTGAGTCGGCACTCCTCCCATCATGTGACCTTGGGATTAGAGGCATTTAGAGAGAGCCACTCCACCGGCAGTACAAACAAACACTGCAAATCCACCATGTGATCATCTGAGATTTGTATATCCATCCCATAATTGTGGATGACTATATTTAAAAGCAGTGGGCTTTCTGCTTATACAACTCAGAGATGAGAAAGAGAGAGGGGGGGGGGGGGAGGGGGCATGCAAATGTGCTGCAGCGCTGCATGTTCTCAGAGTGCAGCACTCTGTTTTGAAATGTGATCACAGAGGACTCGGCCGGCTCAGCACTTTACTGGATTTCTGCTAAATGTGTGATTGAGGGAAGTCGCTATGACGACAGCTACTCGATGATGTGTAAAATGTTGTTTTGTGTCTCTTCCCCCCCCCCCCCCCCCCCCCCCCTCCCCTCAGCCCGGGGCCAGCCTGGAGCAGACCCACATCTTTGTTCTTGCACACATTCTTCGCAGACCCATCATAGTCTACGGAGTGAAATACTACAAAAGTTTCCGTGGGGAAACGTTAGGATACACTCGATTTCAAGGTGAGAGTTTCAAATAAATGTTTGTCACTGTTTCTTTCCACTTTCTGGTGACACCTATGGAAATGAGTGCTCATTGCCGGTGTGTCTTTGCATCTCACTTCCCTGAGATCTGAACAGTAACACCTACTTTCTAATAATGCAAATGCAAAGGTTCAACAGACATTTATTTAATGCAAATCTTTGACATTACTACTTTGAAGCACAGGCACCGGTTTTATCTTTGAACTAGCTGTGACGTCTAGCCCTGCAGGCAGTTTTGTTTTTAATGTTCTGTTCACAAAGAGTTTTCATTGAAACCACTTCTGCTAATGAAACAATGATAGTCCCCATGACAACGGACCACAATTAGATTTTTCACTTCTACCAGCTCCACAAATGAAATTCCAGCGACCTTTTGTTATAGTGGAGAGCAGGCAAGAGCAGGATACCTCTAAAGGTCACCAAGATTTCGATTTGATTTGTAAATATTACCTTGACGTTATACGGGGTTACTCTGTGTACTGACTGTTTATTTAATAAAGACACACCTACAGCAGGGCAGGGTGTTGGCAGCAGCACAAACTGGAGCTGTTTGTTAAAGGAAGCACAGCTGGGGCGCTGAGTCGCTGTGTAACACACAACATTTCTACCTCAGTCCGTCTGTTGAGCTGCCTTTCATTTTGAATACATAAAAGAACCTCTTTTTAATCAGAAAGATGGATTTAAATGTGCAACCTGACTGCTCATGCTGACCAGAGAATAACCGGAGTGACTGTGGTTTGCTCTAGTCCACATTGAACATTGTGTAGTGTGTGTAGTGTGTGTAGTGTGTGTTCTGAGCAGCAGAGGCTGAGCACCAGCACACAGCGGCTCCCTGCTCTCAATGCCCCGGTTGTTTCCAGTCAGATGAAGCGCAGCCTCTTCTGATCTCGGGTCAGATGAGCTCTGACATCTACACAGTCACAAAGAGCTCCCAGCTGATCCACTGTTTAGATACCTGCCTCTCACCTGCCGTGTGTGTGTGTGTGTGTGTGTGTGTGTGTGTGTAGGTGTGTATCTGCCTCTGCTATGGGAGCAGAGCTTCTGCTGGAAGAGCCCCATCGCCCTGGGATACACGCGGGGCCACTTCTCTGCCCTGGTGGCCATGGAGAACGACGGCTACGACAATCGCGGTGCGGGCGCCAACCTCAACACCGACGACGACGTCACGGTAACGCTGCTGCCGCTGGTGGACAGCGAGAGGAAGCTGCTGCACGTCCACTTCCTGTCTGCTCAAGAGGTAGGGACTGATGTGCTGTGTGACATTGTATGACTTAAAATGAAGTGTATTTTCTACCACAAAATCATTTGGTGTTCTACTATTTTAAAAGTATATTCAAGGTTCAAGGCTTTTATTGGTCATACGTACATAGCTACAGTGTAGTTATGACGATGACAATCTTAGGTCACAGTACATACTATAGTAACATTTGAACAGATACTACAAATGTTAATGAAAGCATGAATAGGTTCTGATTTGTTTTATTCTGACTTGCAAGTCACCTTGTTTACTGTAAATGAGAGCAGTCAGTGTTTCAATCCGGCAGAAAACAAAGCATAGTTGTGGATATCAAATCTGAGTGAAACCCCTTTTAAACCAATGTGCTCCTTTTTAACAAAAAATTGCACATTTATTGATAAAAGTTGCTTTCAAAAACAGAAATAAGAATAAAAACAATAAGAATTATGTACAGTTTATGGTTTCAGGTCACCACAAATCGTTCCCAGCCCTCAGTGAAGTGGGTGTTTGGGTTTGTGGAGCATGACTGTGATCACCAGTTTAAACATGTCCTAACAAATGAACTGCGTGTGTGTGTGTGTTTCTGTGTGTGTGTGTGTTTCTGTGTGTTTCTGTGTGTGTGTGTTTCTGTGTGTGTGTGCGTGCCTCAGATGGGCAACGAGGAGCAGCAGGAGAAGCTGCTGAGGGAGTGGCTGGACTGCTGCGTGACAGAAGGAGGGATGCTGGCCGCCATGCAGAAGAGCTCTCGCCGGCGTAACCACCCTCTGGTCACCCAGATGGTGGAGAAGTGGCTGGACGGATACCGCCAGATCCGCCCCTGTGCCTCTCTGTCCGACGGTGAGGAAGAGGAGGACGAAGACGAGGAGGAACACAGCTCTTTAATCTGAGACTGGACACTGTAGGCTCTGGGAGAGTTCCTACCTTACTATCTGTTTTTTTTCCTCTTTCTTTCTCCAACATGTAAATCTTGAACTTGTAATAATGCATGTGATGTGTGAGCTCCGTGGTAGAAAACAAAAGAAGAAGAGATACCAGCACCGACAAACAGAATCCTGATTACTGCTCCTATGAAAGCACATCAAGTCCACTTAGTTCGCCTTTAAGATTTCTCCTTATGTGTTATCAAAGTTATAATCACACCTGACAGAAATACTAAGACATATAGGAACTGTATTTAAGGAAATCCTGAAGCTGCATTTACAGACATTTCATTTACAGAACTGCCTGTCGCTTAAAACGGAGAGGATGCTGATGGCTGTGTGTATGTTAAGGTTTAAAGAGCACCTGTTTTTCTTTCTCCTGATCCCTCTGCAAACCCCTTCTGATGTTTTTGGATTTATTTATTTGTTTAGGAGATTAAGCGTGCGGAGGCGATACCTTTTTTGTTGTTGTTCCGCTCCGTTTTATCCGTGTGATCCGTTCAGTCTTGAAGTATTTTATTTTGCACAGATGAAAACCTACATTCTGTGAGGGAGGGGAGGGGGGGAGGGAAGGACGTACAAGTTTACTGACATTTTTACGTGTGAATTAGTAGCTCTTTGTCATGTTAGTGAGTGGGGGGTGGTGATGCCGGTGGGGAAAAGAAAACCAAACACTCTGCCTCTTTCTATAGAGTGCATTCATATTAAATTTGACTCACTTGCATCCTCTTCGTTGCCCTTGTTTGTTTCTTCTTGCCTGTAACTTAAAATATGTCTAAATATAGTCCAGATTAATAAAGGATGGACCCGCTCTGGAGTCCAAGTAGAAGCCTGTAGATTGACAGCTCCCAGAAAATGTTATTTCTCAGTAAACAACGATAGTTACCCGAACTACAGTGAGCTTTAAATAAACAAAAGGACTCATTTAGGTAGTTACCAACCTTACAAGATTACGTTTTACCCGTGAGGTCCAACCCTTTGTTGGTTTTTCAGTTAATCATCAGGATGGTGTCACTCTTGCTGCATTTCTTTGTTATTGGGACTTGTTTATATTTTGGTGCCCCCCCTGTGACAACGGATACAACACATCTTGTAAGAGTTTGTTAAAGGAACCCATTATCAGGATATTCTCTTCTTAAGTATACAGGACATACAGTGTTCAAAATCATTCTGGTACAGACAGCTGGTTCTCAGAATCATATCTTTTATTTGAACTGCACTGAATGCTAAATGTTCACCTTGTACAAGAAACAAATACAAATACTCACACTAAAAACAAAAACATACTGCTGGCTGCCTCTTGCTATTGTTGGGACACTAAGTAGGAGTTTCTGCTATTGCTCTTACAGAGAGGACGCCCCAAAGAACCTGTCCTTCAATAGAACAATGAAAATATAAGAAGGAGGGAAGAGGGTGGGTGGGGGGGTGGATCACATAGGACTATGGTTATAGGAACATTTAACTAGGCAATACAAATCTAACAGGACTCTTCAAAACTCTTTAACACCAAAACCAGGGATGCGCCTTGTATATAAAAATACCACAATGGAGAGGGGGGGGGGGGAGAGGGGGAGGAATATCCAGACTAACCAGATTTAGTCTCATCTTTTTTTTTTCTTTTTCTCAAAGACAAAATTCTGGGAATAAACAATATCAGCAAAAAAGTGTTTTCCTGAGTCATTAAGAAATGAAGTTTGCTTTAACCCTTTCCTGTCTTCAGTGTGAAATGTGCTCACAGAAGGGGGCGTGGTCTCATCTGTGCACCGATGCCACTCAGTTCATATCTGTAATATCCGTCCATTCAGCAGAAGAATCGGGTGCAGTCAGTCACGCCAAACTTGAGTCTTTTTTTTATGATTTATACAAAAAAAAAAAGTCCTTCATCAGAGTCACACTGACACACCGACTCTAAACTAAAGACACAAGTGAAATATTTAGCTGGCAGCTCCCCTCTAAATCCATGTCATCTCAAAACTCAGCTACATTCAAATGTACAGTGAATGTTTGTTTAGTATAACTGCTAACGGCTCAAAAATAATCCCCACAGATTATATTGGAGCAACTTTTGGTGTTAACGCTCCACAGGTGCAGAAGAAATCCCTCACGCTGTGTAGAAGTGCCCTCCAGTGGTGACATCTTGTAACTGCAGCAGCTTTCATGTGTCTTATTGCCAGGAAAGGGTTAAAACCCACTCTAGATTACTAAATCGTTTCCTTTTGTTTGACGAATGATAAATATATATAGTCATTAATCCATTTTTAGTCATTCACACTGAAGATTGAAAGAACAAAATAATTCTTCTGAGGCATAATGAGGGGCCTAAACAACACACATTAGTTACATAAGGAGGGTCGGAGAGGTGGGGAGGATCAGGGGGCGGTTGGGAAGGGAAGGGGAGGGGGGGGGGTTAAGGTCCAGTAGCACATGATGCCAGAGTTTTTTCTCTTGAGTGTGTTGAGATGAGGGCCTACGTTTCCCATGAGCTCTGAGGTGGAGAGGGGGCGGGGACAGAGTCTCAATCGGGTAATCCCGGAGCGCTAAAAACACTGGACTCTGTGTCCACAATCATAGGCATGTCCCGAAGAAAAAAAAACAACGAAAAAACCCATCATCATCATCGAAGAGTAAAGTCGGTACTGAACCCCAAGAGACAGAGAGTAAAAACTAAAACGTTAAAAGTACAAATTCCCCCGGAACACTTCCTTTGTTCCCAGTTGCTGGCTGGTTTAACAGGCAGCCACGTGTGTCGTTTCACTGTCTCTTGGTCCCAGTTGGTCGGTTGCGTTGTGATTGGTTGTTGGAACCCTTCTGCTGCTATTGCTCGGTGAGGTGCTCTCTGGTCTCGCCGTGTTTGGAGGGCTGGTTGGGCGACGGCGCCTGGGAGGGGTGTGTACCGGAGGGCAGGGAGTGGGCGATGGGCACCCCCCCCGGCACCATGCCCTCTAACGCCCCTGGCATGCCACCCGGAGCCACTCCAACTACGCCCGGCGGATATCTGCAGGGGGGGCAAGGTGAGAGGTTAGTGTCGTAAAAATATGTGAATCCAAGAGGGGGGAGGAAGGACTCACAGGGGGAATAGCCCACACTCCCAACACCGTGAAGGATTCTCGGAGCAAACCTCACACTGATTCTACTGGCTCTTTTTCACCAAAGGAAACTACACAGGAAACATGTAAGAAGTGTTATGCTGCGTTTCAGGTGGTTTTACTTTTAGTTGGTTTAGGAAAAGGATTACAAATGTTTAATAAAAAGTCATGGTATAGGGAGTCGCAGAAAAGTAATTGTAATGTATGTCGTAAATAAAATGTAAAGCATTACATGTCATAAAAGACAAACTTTAGTATGTCGTAAAAACAGAAGAAGGTCATAGCCAATATCAGAGAAACGACATAGTATAGTATGTCGAGAATATCTGAAAAAGTCTATAGTTTTTCAAAAAGAAAAATCATTTCATAGTATGTGAAAAAAATGTCTTATTATAGTATTTTGAAGGGAAAAAATCATATAGTAGTATGTCAGAAATACGACATAGTATAGTACGTAAAAATTGTGTAGTATGTCGAAAATATAAAAAAGTCTTAATTAGAATTTAGAAAATATCAGAAAAGACCTCAGCGTATATGGTATGTCGTAGGACATGAAGTGATTTTAGTTCCTGGGACCTTTTTGATGAAAAAGAGCCATTATGTTAAAAATTCTGTAAGGAAACTTGAAGGCAAATCCTCATAATATGGAGCCCCAGAAGGTTCATGGTAGGACCTCACAATACAGTTAACATTCCTTCTGACCCATAGAACAAGCCTAATCTTTTTCTTATAATATATAGTATAATGTTTGTGTCATGTCTGTACCACTGTGGCAGGAAGACTAGCGTGAGTTTATAGCTGTTCTTATCCTCCTTAACCTATTGCAAAGTAATGCAGAATAACTGAGAAATACAATCCCACCCTGACCCCTGGGGGGCTCCGTACAATAACCACTCAACCAAACAGGAGGGGAAACGCACAATAGAATTGTGAGAAGTGAAATCCAACACATTGAACCCATAAGAAGCAGGAAGCATGACTCCATGAAACTGTCTCTGAATAGCTCGGTCATGCTTCCTGCACACTCAAAGCTTCCTCTGCCATCCATCTCTACCGAGTCAGTCAAACAGGTGAGTACTGGGGGATTGTAGAAGGAACACACATCAGATCAGAGAGGGTCTTATCCGGGACCTCCAGACTGAGGCTGTGGCCCCGGACGGTTGTATTTACCTGCTCCTGATCTAGGCAATAATTTTGTCTTGGGGGACACCGGCTGTTATGCCCGAAACAGTTTGGTTCACTTGGCTGCGTGAAAAGAAGCACATGGAGGCGGACATGCTGAGATCAGGAAGAGCCGGCAGGTGGGCAAAGAAAGACCTTTCTACTCCTACAGGGGACAGTTAGCAGGGGGGGGGGGGGGGGAGGGGGGCACTACCAACTACTGCAGGGCTTCATTAATAACTTGACCAGTCCAATATAAGGAAATAGATTATAAAACAGTAAATATAGGGGAATGTACAAGGTTTTTTTTTAGGAATTTCTCATTCAGTTAGCATTCAAATAAAAGTAATTGGGACAGAAATAGCAATTACAACTCCTTTTATTACTTATCTATCATTAATTACCTCATTCTGTGTACTTTATCACAATACCCTTTGTTTTTGACCCAAATAATGAATGAAATATCTTAAAACAAATCACCTACATGGGTACAGAATACTTAAACATCATATCAAATGTACTGAGGTATAAAAACACAACTAAAGGTTAATCCAGGGTAGCAGTTTCTCTCTGAAATAAGATAAGATAAGATAAGAGGTACTTTATTGATCCCAAATTGGGAAATGTTTGCGTTGCAGCAGCAGCATCAAAAACCACAAAACAAGGCATTGCACAATGGTAGAAATGAGAGAGTAGAATATAAACAATACTAGCATTTAAACATCTCAAAATAGAATTAAAACAGCAGTAAATAAAAAGGGGTGTATCTGTCAGACCCCTCCAGTCCCTACCTGTAGGCGGCGCCGTTGAGCTCAGGGTGAACGCCCGGCTGATCCATAACGGCCCAGGGTGCCGTGGTGACAAAGAACTCCTTGTTGACGCAGTTTCTTAAGCTGTCGGGGATACGGCCTGTGTCACACACACACACACACACACACACACACACACACACACACACACACACACACACACACACACACACACACACACACACACACACACACACACACACACACACACACACACACACACACACACACACACACACACACACACACACACACACACACACACACACACACACACACACACACACACACACACACACACACACACACACACACACACACACACACACACACACACACACACAGAGAGAGTTAAAAGCATCAATCACACACTAACAGACTCCCTACAGTGGATGGGTGACGTGTTAATGAGTTCAGACTGACGAACATATCAGGCTTGGATACACAAATGCAAATTAAGATCATTTAACAATGTGGATGTTTTTCCGCTGGGCTCTGTTCTGCGTCGGGGAGCTAATGATGACATCTATTAAGAGGTCCAGATTTAATAAAGGCTGCCCGGGGCCTATTGAAGTGGAAATGTGACATCTGGGAAAGAAGGACGTGCAACAGGTCACAGAGTAGGTGGAGGCGGGGGGGGGGGGGTAGTGGGCCTGATTATGAAGCAGTGGAA